ATAAAAACACGTATATCTTACTTTAAAGTTAAAGCTGATTCAGTTTGAAGACGACGTTTGAGGAAATTACGCCGATCAAGTGTAGAAGAAAATCGGCAGTATTGTTGCGAATTATTTAGGCTGCGTGCTTTTCCCACACGGTTTAGTCAGACAAATAAAATTAAGGGTTTTTTAAACAATGCAGAGAATATTGATTGCTGGCTGGCTTAGGTGTAACTGCTTTTACAACTGAGCTTGCTCCCTTCACGATAGGATGCGCTGCCACAACTTTGGATTTGTTTGAGTGCGCATGGGATTTCTTTGCTCAGCCATGGTACTGTGCGCTCCAATATTCAGCAGTAATACTTCAAACTAACTTGAACTATACTGAATTTCTAAATAAATTTAAATCATTATACCTTAATATTCTCCACTTGTTTTCTTACATTTAACTTCTATTCCCACTAGTTTCTGAGGCGCAGTCTCTTTTTTGTAACTTTACTTATGGTAGTTTTATTAAGAAATAACCGCATTAACGGGCAAGAGTTTATCCAAAATATCTGCTTCACGAAATCGTTAATTGGCTTTGCTACTGAAAAATATGAAGTAGGGGGTTATTACGAATAGTTTCGTTTGAAGACGGCTAGTTACCTCAAAACGCAATTCCCCTGCCGAACAGAAGAAAAACAGAATGGGATAAAATTGAAGCCAACCTTTGAACCAATTTTCATATTTTCATTCTCGTGATAGTGTTGTAGCGCCAAAGGCGCAATAAAATGGAGAATCCATTGATGCTAATTTACACACTAGTTGGCTATAAATTCTAATTGGCCATCACCGGACAAGCCTAGTAAAATGGGATTGGATGGTTAAGGAAAAGACCGAATTCAATTAGCATAACAAGACATTTGATTAATTATCTGATCGAAATAACTATAATGTCTTGCAGATAGAAAATCACTAAAGTTTCCATATATCCTACTTTGAACGAGGTGTTATTGGACAGTAAATTATTTTCTTCAAAGAAATAAAACGGATAATTAAATTGTTCCACAAATAGTCTCTTCAGACAACCCTAATTAAATATCATAGATAGTAAAACATATGTGAATTGGAGTTTTAACCTGTATAAAATAGCGTAGATATTACTATAGCAGACATAAGTAGTTTCCGTGACTTCTATCTATTCACTATTAAGCTATTGAAATAAATCATTACAACTTTTAAAAGGAAAATTTCTCCAAAATAATAGGAATTTTGACAAAAATTGTACTAGATGGCAAAAAAGCAGGATTCCAAAATAAAATATTTATTTAGTTTTTTTTATTTTTTCTCGAAAAGTCAAAGTCCAAATGGTGAGTCAGTTGTGCTAAAAGAAGCTCTTCAACTTTCTCAGCCAAATGAGTCTTCGCACGGGCCATTCTGAAGCCACTTTGAAGCGCACTTGGCTCTAAGATATGAACGCTGATCTTGCGTCTACTCTTCTACTTCTTATTCATACCAAAACTATTTGCTGCGTCTTGCATTTCAGCATGAAGCAGGCATTACAAAAGCCCAATTTCTCTCCATGCCGGCACGAAAATTGAGTGTAAAACAAGGGATTTATGGGTGCATTTGAACTGCTCACTTCAACGTTGATGATCTTTTTACTGTTTATAACTTTTTTTGCAAATTGGTATTTTGAAAAGACCAAATGGAATATCATATCAGCATTGAGAATAATAATCTGATATCCGACTCCCAACCGCCCTTATCCTGCCTAGAACTTAAAAGAGCTGGAAATAGATTTTTGGAAGTCCTGTTGTGGAAAAAAGACGCTTGAGAAATGCATAGCTTTACCTTCAAAGACTTTACATGCAGTTGACTGTCTGCACTTATCCGAGGTGCTTGAATTTTAATGGGATGAAGATTTTCTGAGGCGAGAGTTGATATTGGAGGTAGATTATGTCATAAAAAAGGTTGAAAATGAAAACTTCGCCGAGGTCTTAGCTATTTTATCCCTAACACCAATTTCTGTATGTTTTCCTCGTTGGCAATTGTGGTAATTTCCCCTTTAAATATTACATTCATTGAACCTGTCATTTATGATAGCTTCGCAATCTTTTCATCTACAAGTAGCAGAATCATAAATTCTCAAAAGGTAGCCAAGTTTTTTATTTGACTTATGCATTTCATGTCAATATGCGTCCTGTGTGCTGAATTACCAAGGTGTTGAGGAGATGCTATTGCAAAATGGAGGTGTGAATTTACAATCCGAGTTGGAATGACTTCATATCACTCAGAATGCAAAGGTAAAAGTGGAGTTTTTTGAGACTAATGATTTACTATTTAATGATAAATTAAATTTAAAGTCTTAAAATTTTCCTAAATAAATTTTAATTGCTTTTGTTCTATTTATTAAATCATCTAAATCGTTGAAAGTGGGAATTCATTGTAACGTCAACTTGACCTTATGAAACAACGAAAATTGGCTTCTCTTAATTGGAATTTCGTATTATGTTAGGTAATCCCAATGCCTGAAATAAGTTTTGCAAATCGAAAATTTGGCTATATTACAATTCGATTTTGTGCATTCACTGGCTGACAAATAAGAAATACCATTAGCCTACAAAGTGCCTCATTCAGGGTAGGGAAATTGTGGGGCTTATTCTGAGTTGGGGAGCATATAACATTTATTTATTTATATCAAATGGCAGGCGTTTTGGTAGTTATCATTAACCCTTTAGTTGACTTCAGGTTTCACAGAGGGGAAGGAAAATCAAAGTGAAAAAAAGTCGAGAGGGGGGACAGAATAATGTTTCAACGATGTAAAAGAGACAGACTCAAAGGTAGAAAAGAGGCGAGTACTGTGAAAGTGGTGGAATATGACATACAGTGGGATGAGGGTAGTTTGAAGTCAGAAATCAGGTGCCGGTTAATAGACTTTTTTGCCGTAGGAGGTAAGTCTATCCCACACCCCCACATAACATTGTCACCGCTGAACAAGGCCATCTCATGTGCACTCAGACAGGTTTAAAGGTGCTAACGTTCAACTTCTCGTCGGGAGTAAGTGCGGACGTGAGTGCCGAGAAAACACAGCCAACCGCCAATCAATAATCCTCACGTGGTTTGGCAAACCCGCCATAGTAATATAATGACCAAGCTCCTTGTCAGGTCACACGCCCACTCATAATCATAGCAAATAAATGTGTTCCACGTGATGCGTCTGTTTTCTCATCAGCCTTGCTGTAGCTTAGATAGTGCTGGGAGTCTTTCCAAACATAGGAGAATCTGCCATAGAGGCTTATTAGTGTAGCAATTTACTATTGAGCGAACTCCAATGAGCTCCATGAAATTAGCAGCTAACTCTTCGTGTAATGTTCAATTAAATCATTTATTTACTAATATCAAATGGCAGGTTTAATGATGGTCATCATTAGCCCTTTAGTTGACTTCTGGCTTCACAGAGGGCAGGAATATCAATCACAAAAAGTTGAGAGGGGGAAAAGAAAAAGGTGATTCACAGATGTAGAAGAGACAGACAGACACAAAGGTGAGATGAGTGCTGTGAAAGTGATCGAATATGGCATACAATGGGGTCATGGTAGTTTGAAGTCAGAAGTCAACTGTCGTATGAGTATACATTGCCCAGGGTGCACCACGTGGAGGTAAGTCTATCGCACATCCCTCAGTTAAATCATCTGGTAAAGAAGTTCTGAAAGTTATGTTCAAAACTAGCCCGGAAAATAGGGATCGAATCACGGAAATTCAACTCCAGAATACTTGAATCAAGTGTAATGGGATAATTGAATAATTCTTCATTTCAAATACAGCCAGAACTTTATTGAATTGTCTAATTTAAGAATCCTTCGTAAGACCATAATTTCACTTCATAGGCGACTACTGAGGGCATATTACATGAAAACATGACTATGGACCATCCTTCGAAACATGCTTTTACATAAATTTGTCTTGATACTTCAGTTTGTGATTGACAATTTTCTCTCTTATGAACAATATCTCAACGATTTTCGCATTAGCCGTGGCCTTGTTGAAGGTATCTATTTTATTTAAATTCTGATTTAGTTATTTTAAGTTGTCGTTACCCATGGTAATGCGAAAAATGTGTAAATATTTAATTCTTTCAAACAAGTTACACATGTTCAGTGTTGCCAAAATATTAAATTGAAATAGAATAATGAAGAGGTCTTCAAAAAAGTTAGAAATTTCACAATCGTGCCTTTTCAAATGAAACAGTATAAATAAATAAATAGTTTTTATTTTCAATTATCTTAATGCATTTTGAGTGAACTCTGGAAAGTTCATTTTGGTTAAAATCGTACTTCTAGCCTAATTGCTAATTGAAGAAAACTGAGCACAAAATGGAAATTTTATCTTTCATTTACTCAATGTCCTTAAACTTTAAGGACAGAAGGGGGGCATTTTAGCCAAATTTGTTTAAATGAGGAATAACTTCATTACAAAGAAAAGCAAATCCCCTCCCCTTGAAAGTCGATCGTTTTCATCCAGTCGCATTTAAAGCCTGTTTACTCAAAGAGGTAAAAGGAGTCCCGTGAGAATGCAGGGAGTTAATTTATTAATAATTTTTTTATTTAAAAGTAGTAAACAGAATATTTCGAATTACAACATATTGAATACCCCATGGTTGTAAGCGTGTGTGTTTTAAGCGTTTACCACGAACTTCGTTGAACAAACTCAACTTATCTAAACACGTATCTTTCATCTTGAACACATTATACATATATATATATATATATATATATATATATAAACAAGAATAAGTTCCCTTCTGAAATTAGACCAAAACCGATGCAACCCATATAGCGTCTAGAGCATTAAGAAATGGAAGTCGCCAATTTTCTCTTTACCCATCTCCAAAACATTTTTAATTCGTTAAGAATTAAATATACCAGCATCCAAGTCAAATTTGAGGAAAAGATTAAAGACTTAATGATAAAAAATTTTATTCCGGAAAGATCTCGAGTTCAGCATTATATGAACAAAAAAGGTAGTCAACTAATTTAGATAGAAGAGATGTAAGCCACAATCTCCGCCAGATTAACTTGATCATCTCCATCCTTGGTCTCCTCGAGATAAGGTTCCACCTTATCAGTTGCAATTCCGAGGACTGGAAGGGCAGTGAGGACATCTTTGACTTTGATTTTGCCGTCAACAGCATTAGCCTTTAGGGCGGTTTCAATTTCGGTTTGGCTTGGCATATTTTGGAAGAGTCGGAGAAGGAGGAGCACGAATTCGCTCCAAGAAATTGTCTCCGATTATATAGACTTGAGACCACTCGGAGGAGAGTATTATAGCTCAAGGCGATTGGGAGATGATCAAGGTCACGCATGTGTCTGCCCACGAGATTTCGGGGTCATTGGTGGTGCTCGCAATAGGCATTAGCGACCAGGAGAATGGTAAGTGGCCGATGATACAAGTGCAGCTGTGTGATTGGTTATACGATTATTGCGTTTAAAAATGCATTGGCCAATCATATATCAGTATCAAGTCATGATTGAATATGGTAATTACTTATGCTTATTTTTTTATAAACTTTGCTTTTTTTACTCATACTAAGGGAAATTAAATATTACTTAGATATATTCCTCCTGTTCGAACACAAATGTAAAAGGAGAGATAGTGCTTTATAGCCAGTTTGTGCCTTTTTCACTAAGGGCTACATCTTTTGATTATTTATGCATTAGAGATTAATGGAGATTTGGTGTTTGAAAGTACGGTCCACATGGACTAGGATTTGGTTAGATGTTAGAATTTGCACCACATTGAAAAATTATAACTCAAATTTATGGAACACGGTTGGTTCGTTCACTAACCCCCCCCCCCCCCCCC